ATGTAACGTTGTCCTAATATTTTTGTTTCTGCATTGTTTACTTATTTTAATCTATATTTGAAAACCCAATCCCAGAATGGTGCACTAGGGCTAGCTGTTTGAATTAGGAATGTTCAGATATTGGGATCAGGGGGGTCATAATTCATGCCTGGATTTCTGAATTGGGTCGTCAGATCCTAGATGTACATACATACAGGCTGTACGTACTAAATATATTTAGTACTACTGTATGTAGAGAGTTACTATGGTACTGTAGTGGAGGAAGTAACAAAACAGTTTAAAATTAGCCTCCCAGGGTTTTCTTGTACTCGCCAAGGCGTGGGAGTTTATTTATATTGAGAACAAATCTAAATGGAATAGTCTAGCAATAAAGTAGTGGTTTGTATACAAAACCTCTAAAATTCAGATACTTAAGTTTTAAATTTCCCATGATACTGTACACCCAATTAAAAAAAAAATTGATGATTTGCAGACATTTTGCTATAGAAATTCTAAAATTATTTAGTACCTACTAAAAGCTATCTGTTAAAATCAGGGGTTCATCCCTCTTGCCTCAGTCCTACAGTACAGTTCAGTTCCTTTCCTATTTTCTCTGTGCTTGTTCTGGTGTGCAGTAGCACGTAATCAAATCAGCAATTAGATTAGTATTTGTCTTAGTCACCTTTTAACAACTCGTTTGACACTTTAGCCGCAGCTATAGATTGGCCGTTCCTACTATGATCGTATCTCAAATTGCAATGCCTTGATTGCATTTATTCGTAGCTACTTGTTTTTTCGCCTCTCATTTGGAACTCTAGGCTAAACCCCTGCGGTGTAATCTCAAGTATGTCCGTTAGGACATCCGTTATAATACAACCTTGACGTTCGATCATCAGAATGCTGAACTGCTAAATATATTGTTGTTCCTGTACAAACACGACCCTAGCATTATTTTGATTGCGGTTTATTTTACATTGAAATTGCATGGATAAAAAGTGCATCCAAGTGTTCATGCTTCACTACTCATTGAATATAATAATCTATTTTGGGTGTACATACAATTATAGTGCATGAATTGCTGGGTTCTATTGTGCTGTTTGTCATTTTGTTTATATATAAGGGTTGTCTGGGATCCTGGGTCAGTTAGTCGTAAAGTAGGAAGGAGTGCTGTATCTACTATCAGTAAGTTTCTTTGACATCTGTTGGATGATTCCTGCGGAGAAAGAAGAAAGTGGTCTATAAAAAACATGGCATTACAATTGGAATACGTATGTTACATACTTTTACTGGTCGACCACTTTAAAAATTATGTTTCACTTAAAAATAATTTAAAAGTCAGTTATGTTGTCCTGGAATTCTCTCCGGTTTAGCTAGTACAGTATTAGTAGTGTGTCGATAACGTTAACATTTGGGTACTTGGATGACGCACAGCACTTTACTAAGAATATAGTTTACTGTAGTTAATAGCAATCAACATTTTAAAAAAGATGGTACTGTATTTTAACTGTATAGATCGATAAAATGTAACTTAAAAAATAAGGAATTACACAGCCGTCTAATAATAACTGATTGACAATTTTAGGCCCTCGGTATATGTTGCTCTCATCAGACACATGTGTAGAGGCATTATAATGTACCTAGACAGTAGTAGTAGCTCTAATGAGGAGCTGATGTGAGGGCAGGCACCAGAGAACAAAAATACAATTTGACGCCTCGTAGATCCCCTCTGAAGAGTTCTGGGCTGCCACTGGCCCTGCCCACTTATGTCCCTGTCGGGAAAATCATCTTTCCTGATGCAGCCATAGCAAATGAAGCCGGAATACAAGAATAATTATTAAAACTGCAAGAAACAAAAAGAATTTGTCTGAAGAAAAACAATATCCCAATCAGTCTTCACCTTTAATTGAACCCGGAGCTTTTTTTTAGCTTGTACGGAGATTGACCAATAGACCACATTGTGTAGAATCCCAAGTGCCAGTAGTGATTGAAAGCTAATCACAAGTTGTTTGCTGAGGTTGATAACGATTTGAGTTGATTGGCCGTGTGTAACCGCTACCTGGCCCAATCTCTGTCAACATTTTTTCTACAGAATGCAAAGTCTTACAAATGTTGTACAGTAGATATATCAAGCCCATGTTAAAATCGAATAAATCCTGGTTCTTTGGTCCGATAAAGTTAAAAGTGTTTTACTTTAAATTAAAATTAGTCACAAAATACTCTCTATCAAGTTGATTGCAAAATGTCACATGATCATTTTTATACCGGCAGTCAGTAGCATCATGGATTTCTCAGGATGCATTCCCTGTTAGGTCCCTACAACCACTGTTGGGCTTTATACAGCTAGGTACATTTGGTGCTGGAGGATTGACTGTCATAGATTTATAAAAATCAGTAGCTGTTACCGTAGTTACACGATCAGAGGTTCAATAATATTTTCTCTAGGCATTTGTCATGTGTCCCTAAACCATTCGTGCAACAGCCAGATACCAGTGATTATACAGTATGTGACAGATTCAGGAAAAGCGTTTAAAAAAAGGAAACTATAACATTCCAATGACCAGGGATTGTCATCACGAATGGTTAAATGACAATGACAGTGTGAATCCTCTAAATACCTACACAACGACACTGACAATGAGTTAAAACCAGGAAGTGTTTAAAAATTTTTCATGGTATGTGCCAAATATACAGATAAAGTCCAGTTGTAATTTTATGCTGTAGAGTATAACAGGAATACGATAATACGCAATAAAGAGAATTTAATAAAAGAAAATGTAGAACAGAAAATGACACAAAGAGGGCTATAGTAGCATCTGTAGTTTCTCTGTAACTCAAAGATATTTTCTAATACTGTCCGACTCATTACATAATTAGCCGGTAATTTCTCTATGTAGAATTTAGTGCGATCATTGTAAAAATTACTGGCAGTGTGAAGGCCAGGTGGATTTAGTGGAATTGATCTTAAATGTTGTGTAAAACGGTCAGACATACAGTACGGTGTTTGGTCTTTCCAATAGTTGATTACATTTATTACACATTATGCATAAATCGTATTACCGCTAATACAGGTAAATATCGTCTTATAATTAGGCCAAATAAACTTTAAAACATGTTTCTCGTTCTGAAGTCTTTTTTAGTAAGAGGTGAATGCAGGCAATTATTTTACATTTAGGGGTGTATATGCAGGGGTCTTAATGGTGCACACCTAAAAAAGATAGAACTCCTTAAGGGAGTACAAAACATTACTTTCTGTGACCTTATTCCCATCTCCGCTTCCCTGCCAAGATATTATTAATATTAATAATCACAATTCCCTCAAAGGAAGAGTACGCTCACAGCGTTTATTTCACTGTAAGATTTTGAAACTACTGCTTTGAAAGCCATTTGCCAAAAAAAAAGAAACAGTTCACAAAAAAAAAAACTTCCAGAATTGAATCTGTGTCGCTCTCTATGTGGCCATGCTCCACATTGGGCAGTATGCTGGGCTCGAATAGTTTCCACCGCTACCCTGCACCACTGATGCAGTGACACAAGAAAGGAAATAAGGTGAAAATAAAAACAAAAAACAAAACTGCGAAAACAATCTATTTATGGGATGGTCCCCTTACAGTAGGGCAATTTTTTAATAATATATTATTGGTTTTGCAATTAAGATGTGTTAACATTCTCACAATTTTCAGCTACTGTACCATTTACTATACATTGTATAGACTCAATGTATGATTCTCATTTCATTTCCATTTATCATTTTCATCATAAAAAATACATAGAAATTATTTTTGCTCAGAGGTAATATTACATAAAAAACAAAACTGAACGACACAAAATATATTTACAGACTCAAGTCATATCATTCTCAGGGTTGTAAGCTATAGAAAACTAAGAATGGGTGATAAGCATTTTAAGGGCGGATGGGTGATAACATTGCTAAACTCAAAATAATAAGAGTGGATTTTAAGGATGGAAAATGGGTTATTAAGGGTGGGTGGAGGGCCATGAGATTAGCTTTAGACTGGGTGGGAAACTTCAAGGCTGTGTAGTCCCGCCC